GACCTGCTGGAGGATTGGATGGTCAGGTGACCTGCTGTGCATGGCTGTGCATGACCTCATATGACCTCATCCTTGGTCATATGACCTGATCACCTGACTAGGCTGAGTAAGCAAGATGTTCTAGCAGGTTCCACCACAGAGGTATAAATATAAGGCCTACTCTGCCTGGGACTGTCTCTTCAGACTTGGTCTCTTAGGATCATCCACAGGTACCTATACTGTAGATAGGTCTTAGTCATCAGGTCTACTCCACTTCCTTGTTGCCTGCTTAGACTCTTGGCACTCTTAGGTGAGCAGACTTAGTCAGCCTGTGTTGCCCTAACACCTACCTGCTCTGGCTGGTCCTGTGTGCCATCAAAATGGCCTTCAAACTCTACACCATGGTGATCATCCCCTTCCTCTGGCACCTCCTTGGTCTTGTCTTCCCTCATGGAGACTTCTGAACTAACCCTGCATGCCTAATGTTGAGTCTCTAACCTTCCTTTCTTAGCAAAGCTAACCCTTATTTAGGCTGCCAAAGAATTGCATTTGTCTCCCCCCCTAATTCCTCCTTTTTTTTCTCTTTTTCTCAAAAGATGGTCTCTTTAGATACAAAAAAAATTGTTCTCATTGTTCTAGCTAGTTCTAACTACATTTTTACATGCCTTAAAAAAGAAACAAATGCATTTGCATCGGAGATGCATGAGAACGAGCATCTGCAAACATCAGTCACCAGCCAGCTGTTCGGACTTAAGCACACACAATGAATTTCCTTTTTAAGGCATAAAATGCCTTAAAACTGAATATAAGAGTCTACTGCTCTTACAGTAGGACCCTTATCTGCATCTAGTGATGGGCATATGCCTGGTAATGCATGCCCTTTAATTATTACTTTTATTCTAATTCTACTACTAATTCTACTGCAGGGAGCAATATATATTAGCTATATACACGTGCTTACTTAACCTTAGTGAGCGGAGCTATAATTATGCACCGCCCCTGCCGGAATCCGGAATCCGGAATTCGAATTCCGTCTGTCCTCCATGTTTACCAGCCCAAGTTCGCTTGATCTGCCCACCGGTCCTCGTCAGATCTTTGAAAAATCAACATTCTTCCTGCGAAATCCCCGGGCCCAGCTTCCAACCCCAGCTCAAGTTCGCGCAGAATGCAAGGCTCAAGGAGGGAATTATGGCTCTGCTCGCCCTTTGCCCGTACGTTTCCCACACCTCGGCCTCATCGTCAAGTTCGGATTTGTCGTCTCCATCACCGAAGGCCAGTGCCTCTTGTGGCTTAAGCAGTTGGGCGTCGTTCGGGTCCCAGAGGTGTATGGATGGACGACGGACCGTGTCGGGTACAACCTCGAGGTGTTCCTTTACCTGGAGCTCATCCCCGCCGTTAGTCTGAAAGATCGATGGCGTTGGTTGTCCCGCTCGAACAAGGAGCACATTGCCCGCGAGCTGCGTGTCATTATGGACAAGGTGCACTCCATCCCACCTGAGCCTGGGGAAGTTTATATCGGTACGCACATTGTACGAATCAAACCGTATGTTGGTGACACCCCTTCCAGGGTCGATTGGGAAACAACCAGTGCAGGAAGATATCTTCGCCTCGTATACTGAAGCAAAGCCCGGTCCATTTACGTCGCTCAGTTCTTTCCACGAATATCTCCTGTGTTACTTCCGCCAACCTCCTCAATGGGTGGATCCCGACAGACACCTCCTTCCGGACGACGTTCCTATTCAGTTCACTCATAGTGATCTGCACATGGGAAATATCCTTGTGTCGCCCCCCCTGCCGTGGAGCAAAGAATCTCTGTGGATGGCATGGCAGGAGTGGTCCAGGAATAGATGGTCACTAATTTGGGTATGGCGAGCCTTGTGGTGGGGCACTTGGCGCAGGATGGAGTGTGGGGAGCCTCGTGTCGTCGCGATTCTTGACTGGCAACAGTCTGGATGGCTCCCGTCATACTGGGAGTACTGCAAGGCGATGTGGACGGCGGACTTTCAGCCCAGGAGCTGGGGGAACAAATATCTGCCTATGATCCTCGACAAAAACGATGTCTTTTGCGTGTGGGGCGACATTGCAGCTGCAGCAGGTATCTAGATGCAGGCAGTAGTGCATATTATTGTAGGCCCTATCTCGCTTACCGATCTATTCATCCCCAGAGCTGACGCGCCGGCACGGCAGATGAATATGTTTCCACGTCTCGCAAGTCATCAGAAAGGTAGATGACTCCCGTCATTCTATGTAGGAGTACTGTAAGGCGATGGTCATTCCGACAGTTTCCCTGCTTCTTCGACTGTAGATGCGCATCTCACTCCAGGAGAACAACAAAATCTCGCGGCTGTTGACATGCTCGCCTTCATCGGATTCGCAATCAAGATCGTTTTCAAACATTCCTCTCTCCAAACCAGCGTACGGTTTCGGCCTACGTCCACGATGACGACCACCGTCCAATCAGATGCCAACTTCCACGGCGGGAAACGCACACGGGAATGGGTCCACGAGCCCAGCATGATCAAGGAAGAGGCAGAAGGGATGATCGCACGAAAGTTGTCGGATGGTAATCCATGGAGGTTGAAATAGACACAGTATGACAATGAATCGAGCAGGCAAGAAGCCAAACCGTTGCTGTTCCGGGTTCGCTCACCGGAGTGGGCCTAATTCAGTGGGCACTGGGTCTTCTTGGCTGAGCTCGCTCTGGTGTTAAGATCGCATAATGTACGATTATTATTAGGTTGTTCTCGATTGTTTATTCAGTCTGTAATTTCATCACAGCATGTCGACCATTGCAATGGAAGCAGAAATTATACATGCATAAGAACGTCCCATTTTCGACTTTCCACCACATGCTTTTATACACACAGCCTAATACAATGTAGCCGCTGAAGACTCGATAATTCGCTGAGAACGAGACATGCATTATTTGGCGAACTGATCCAAAGAAAACTGGTCCAACTGTCGTTGCGATGCGAAGCGTATCAGACACCGTTCTCAACATGCTCAATCTCCGCCTGCTGCTTCTCCGCACTGCCGCCCGCCGAGCTGGCGTCGCCTTTGTTTTCTTCCGTTTCCAGTTTGCGAATATCTTCTTCGGTGACTGGCACGAGGTCGTCTCCAAACTGTTTTGCAATTTGCTCCAGCGTGAGATCTTTAGTCTCCTTGAAATAGAACCAGCCAAACTGGGAAGGTCCTGTCAGTTGAAGGCATTACCAAAGCAAAATGTCGACTTACGACGAGGAAGAAGGCACTAGATCCAACAAACACCCACTGTTTGAGGTTGTCAAGACATGGTTCGCAGGGTCCCGAAATGAAAAACACACGAACATAATAGTTTGCTCCAATGTTCTGGAAAGCCGAGGGACCGGCTTCGGTGAGTCCTACATTCTGGTGAAGACGTCTGCAACTAGCACATAATCGTCCACGCAATAAGGCTTACGACGACGAAGTGAGTGAAGGCTCCGAGCGCTGTGACCTTGGAACGAATTGGCAAAGGAACAATCTGCGCCAACGTTAGATTATGAACGGGTCAACCTTATCATCGCTCTGCACACCTCTGGCGCATAAAGCCATGTGGTTGAGTTCCTGCGCACAATGTTAGATGTCCTGTCTAATCACGGAAGGAGAGTTCACTTACAATAAACCATAGTAGCTACATATAATGGGAATCTACATTAATCCCACCAGGGGAAGGAAGCAATTTCACGAACCAGGTTACGCTTTGAGCAACATCAATGAAATCATCCACATAAAGTAATGTAAGGACGCACAAGAGATAGATGCCCAATATTGCAAAGCCCTTGGCAACATTGTTGGAGCTAGTTGCGAAGACATCGGTCATGATCGCGTTGTACCTGAGAGAATTGTGTTTAGGGAATACGATTAATAACAAGGTAGAGTGACGAGAGCAACGCACGCATCGACAATGACGACACTGAGTAGACCAAGCAAGAGCATCGGTCGACGCCCGAAACGATCGCAGACTGTAAACTAGATGAGAGGAATGTCACCGGTTAATGGTGAAACGGTCGTACTAAACCATGTAGTGAGTACGTTTGCGATCAGAGCAACAGTGCCATAGACTCCGGCCAGTAAGAGGATGTCTGCGCAAGAACATTGTTCAGGCACAGTGACAATCATTTGAAAGAAAATGAACACACTGTTCCCAGTCATCCCGAGGGCCTTGTACCTAAGGAAACGGCCGATCAGTGCCCTGGAAGAGCGAAATTCAAATTCTAACGCACAGAATTGTCTGATAGTATTGAATAACGTTGACACCGGTCAGGGAAGTCATGGTTTGCGACGCCATGGAGCTACGCAGTCATAAGAACCGGGCGGAAACAGTGATGATGAGTGACGTGCATGATCGTCCGCTTAGGATATCTAGCGAAGATCTCGCGGACTGAGTCTACCTCTTGGGACCGCTCTGCCTCGATAACTTTCGTCATCAAAATGAATTCCGCCTCCGCCTCACGGTCCTGCCATGCAACACATCAGATGCATTCCAATTTCGGGGAAGAAGCGAGGAGAACACACCGATCCGAAGCTTCCTCCATGTATTGAGATGAAGGCTTTGCGTGCTTCCTCCTCATGACCATGCCTGTATAGCCAGCGCGGAGACTCCGGAAGGACAAAGAGCAGAGCCAGGAAGAGGAAGATTCCCCAAGGAATCTGCGGACTGGGGTTAAGCTTATCTCTCCGTAGCCAGTGACGATGCAGCACAAACCTGAAGTCCTAGCGGCAGCCGCCACTGTATTTGCCCATAGGGTGCATATGCGCCACCCAGACCAATCCAATTGGAGACCATGGTTCCTGTTGGGCTGTCAAAGAACAGTATCTGAAGGGCTGACACGGCCGACATACCTAACGAAATTCCGATACCTGAAATACCCGTGACAAGGCCGCGGGCATGGGGCGGCGAGATTTCGGACCTTAACCATGAGTAAGCAAGTTGTTATTTCAAGGAAAGAAGAGACATACAAATAGACGGGGTTAGTCCTAAGCAACACTATCGTCACTCATCAGTACAGCACGTACGAGGCTGTGTTGAATAGTACCACGCACGCAATAAGTCCGCCAACTGCAAAACCAGCGATAACACGACCTACGAGGAAAGCTGCAAAATTGGGAGCACCGGTTTGAAGAGCTGAGCCGACAGTGACAATGACGCAAAGGACCATCTATAGAAGAACACGGTCAGTGCTTGTGACTTCTGCGGGGAAAAGCGATGTTACCATGAACCTCTTTCGACCAAGCCAGTCAGAGACGAATACCTGGAACAAGGCACCTGCTGCTTCGCCTGCAATGTACACCTATATGAGGCGCAATCATGAGCAGCCCTTCCAGGGTTCCGCAGATGCCGCGCTGGAAAAAAACTCACTCCAGGCACTGCTCCGACAAGTGCTGGGTTCGGATTCTTCATGTAATCAACCCATGACTGGTGTGCAATAGTTGTCGTGGCAATGCTACGGCAGTGGTGTTTCGGGTCATTTTCAAGCCCAGGGAGTTGCATTAGGGACGTTAGGCTTACCCAGTATCGAGGCCGTACCTGTCTGCAGCATGAGTGACAGGCTTCCGGTGTACAGAGCGAAACTACGAACAGAAAGGTTGATATAGAGGCCAGGAAGCCTAAGCAGAGTGACACGTGTGAGATAACGGGCGCGTTAAGGAGGGCAACGTCTCCCGCAGTCGGAAATTGTGCATACCAATGGATAGTGCGTTAACCATTATTGTTAGTTCGCCCTCTTTAGTTCAAGAAGGACAATGGATGTTGAGTGACGATTAGGCACTAAAGAGTTTATGGCGAGGGAATGGGGGGAGGGCACAAGGTGCGCAGAAGCAGGAACCATGTTCCAACGAGCGTTTTGATCTGTGAGCTCCACACCGATCCCACCACCAGAGCAACCAAACTTCGGAGGTGTGTCAAGCGTGGAAACCTTGTGACGATTTGGCGTCCGTGTACTACGCTGCCCTATGGGTCTCTCTATTCAAACCCCTCAAGGCCCCGCCTCATATATCCGCAATGGTCCACACCTGAGGGTATTGGCCCGTGTTGCATGTGTACGGCGGGAAGCCCCTGATATCGGAGGGTGGAACGAGTAATGTAACCAATTCCAGAATTTGTCCACGTCGTCGAGGTCAAAGGTGTACCATGGGTCACTGCAGCACCCCATCACCCACACTAGTACTTTCGCCCCAAGAATCAGGAAGGTCGTGAAGTTCTGCGAGCAATGCATCTCCGTCGCCCGCATGTGATACCCATGCGCCTGGGTCTTCGCGTCGGATGCCGGCGCACCCACCCCCTTCAGCTCATACAACGATGCCGGTTTTTGGGTACCGTCCTCATTGAACGTGACCAGAGTGAAGTCAGGAATTAGCATGCAGATCTTCGTCCCCGATTCTCCGTATGAATTCGACGGGTTGTGCGCCTGCTTCACCGCCGACGCCACCATAGGCGTCACCTTCCTGGCGCCGTTGTCAGGTCGCAGCGTAGCAAAGTCAATTCCGAGTTGAATAGCTTCTTCAAACTTCTTCATGAGCTCCTCGCATTGCGCTGACGTTTGCGCCCACTCCACAATACCTTGCGGCTTCACCATCCACCTCCTCTGTCGCCAGCTCACAGTAGAGCAGAACTCCATCAAGGCCATGTTTATCAGTCCATACGAGCTGTTTTCGTAGCGGTTCTCGCTCAGCAGGGCATCCCGTGTCAAGTCAATCCACACCTTAAATAAAGATTTCGGTGAAAATTGGTGACTCGGATGGGGCGGTTGCTGTGGGGGGTTCTGAACAGGTAGGTTAGAGTACGGGCCAGGCGCCGACCCGTGCATGCGCGGCTGAGGGCCTGGCGGTGCGTAGGCGCCAGGTGACGGATATTGCGCTTGCTGTGGCGCATGCTGCGGTTGATGTGGCACGTACTGCGGTTGATGTGGGATGTACTGTGGTTGATGTGGCACAGACTGTGGTGGATGTGCCACATACTGCAGTTGATGTGACACGTACTGCCCGTGTGATGGTCCGGATGCCTGCTGAGGCGGCAGCCGACCGCGCGGATACTGCCCGCGCCGCTGGGAAGGGTTGTCGCCATCACTCTCCTGCTCCTCATCATCCTCAGGTGGCGGTAACATTGGTTGAGGGACGGAATGGTGCGTCGACCCGGTACGGATCGTTGGCAACGGCGGGGGCCGTGCACCGCCATAACCTGCTCCTTGCCCCCTGCCCACTCCTCGTCTGGCAGACATGTTGGTGGGCAAAAGCGTGTGTGGGTTCGTAAGGCGGTCGTGCTTCGCCAACACAAGTATTGGGCAAGGGTAGGAATTGCTGGCAGATACGGCGGCGGCGGCGAGAGCACAGCGCAACAAGTTAGAGAGCACGCTGTGACTGTATATACATCTCAGGCGACAGGTTTAAGTACGTCTCGGAACAATGAAAAGGAAACTAACACGGGGCCTATTGCATCATCACCTTGGTATCCCACACAAGGCAGGTGCCATCTGCCATCCTTCCTTTCCCCATCCGGCAAGATCTAGCATTCAACGGGTTCCAGCCCAGCCCCCACAACCCTGGACCACTCCAGGGCAACCCCGTCAAAGAACGTTTCGTTAAGCACCCGCGGGAGCGCCCTGTGCTGCGCCGTCTCTTCCACTCCGCGAACTCTAGGCTCCTCTCCAAGCGGCACAAACAGCAGGTCCACCGGACTGTTCGGCTTATCATCGAGAGGAACAACGTAAAGACGGAATTTCATGGCGACTCTGGGGTGGTACCTCCACAGCCAGTTCTGCGTGTTGGCCGTCAGGCCAAACAGAGTGCGCCTTGGCCCTAATGGCCAGTTCATCCACTTCTGCCAGTCGTCCGCTTTGAGACGATAACCGGCGAGCACGATTGGCGGTGCGGGATGCTGCTGTTCTAATGATTAAGTGCGCGGGACGGTATGCAGGAGTAGGCACGCTTACAATTGCTCTGGACATGGTGGAGCAGGGCAGAGTTGTGGGTGCTTCAGCCGAGCGAATGAATATGCCTGGGTCGGTGATACGTGTTGACAATATCATGATCAAATAGGCATCAATTTAGATTGCCAATTTTGTTTCCGACTGCTTTCGAGTTTTCCTTTTATGTTTATCCTCCCCCGCAGACGTCATTCCGCCAGTTCAGTTCGACGGAAAACGGCAGCCGTTATAAATTGGGCGACATCTTTACTCATCATCCACAACCGTTAGATCTTGCTTTCGTTCTCGCATAACGCTGATCTCGTGTTCTCACGATAGAGTCGGCCCGACCCATTGATGTCACCAGGACTGGCCGTCCGTTCCGCATTGTTCCAACAATGGCCAGCGATCCGTTGAACCAGGTCCACAACGTTCCAATGCTGAGAAATCGCCTGCGGCGTAGGTATTTTCAAAAGTGTCTGGTGTTGTATAAAAGATAGTCCCTTTCGACATGTTTTCCTCTCAACCCAGTGCGACTCGACACCGCTTATACTCAAACCAGGACTAATAGTTCCCGCTTAATACTCCTCCCTCCATTCCACCAACTTCCATCATGTCCGGCAATCAGGCAGTCAACATCACCCACCCAATGCCGCCATCGACATTACGTCGCACGGTTCTGACTGGCTTTGGGCCGCTTTCGCCGTCTTCACTCTAACTGACCTCGGTATGGTCGCTTGGATGTGGTTGCAACCAAAGACGCAACGGGTCCTCCACCTGTTGCCGATTGTTATCCTCACCGCATCAGCCGTAACATACTTCACGACGGCATCCGACCTCGGCAGCACCCCGATCACTGCCGAGTTCTACGGCAACCACCACCAGGACCAGGCTGGCGATCCTGCGACTCGTGCGATCTGGTACGCTCGGTACATCGGATGGACCTTCTCCCTACCGCTCCTGGTCGCGGAAGTCCTCCTCACGACCGGCATGAGCGCGACCGAAGTTGCATCGGCACTCTTCATGCAAGTCGTATTTGTCGTATCCTACCTCGTTGGCGCCCTGGTGTCGACGACATGGAAGTGGGGCTACTTCGTCATCGGCACCGCCGCGCTACTTTATGTGATCTCCTATCTTGTCGGCCCAGCACTCGTTGCCGCTGGTCGCATCGGCACCGACGTTCGCAAGGTCTACCTGTGCTCTGCCCCGTTCGTCGCATTCCTGCTCTTCCTGTACCCAATCGCCTGGGGTTTGTCCGAAGGTGGGAACGTCATCCACCCCGACTCCGAGATGGTGTTCTACGGTGTACTCGATTTACTGATCCAGCCCGCATTCTTGTATGCGTTCTTGTATCGGTTGAAGGACATCGACATCTCTCGTTTTGGGTTCGCACCTCGTGAGGCCGTAATCTCCGAGAAGCCCGCAGCTACGGCATAAAAGGTTACAAGAAGAAATGCATGTTGGCAGTCGCCGGTTTTCCGTTCTCCTGAAAGAATATCTTTTCCCTCGTTCACGATCATTTATGGCTCATCACGATTTTCATTTGATACCACTAATAATGCTGAATGCAACTGTAATGCGCCAATAATATTAATGTAACCAAATCGGATGTACAAATGGATCCCTTACGAGGATCGTGGGTATGATGGGGCATGGAAAAAGCCTTCGAAACCCTCCTTCATTTAATCTGTAACAATCTGGCACGTACCTGGTCACCTTCTTGCTTCTCCTGTACCCAATAGCTTGGGGCCGCGCCCGCTACTCTGCGAAAAACCTGAACCACTGATGTGACTCCTACTGTACCGTAGATACAATAGATAGTCCAATCGAGCTCTCGTGTGAACCTCCTACGGGTGAGCGTGCTTCCGGATAACAAATGTCGGTATATCGGTATAGCAGTATATCCATGATGATGTGCTCGAATAGGATGTGATATCAAGGAGAGTGGATAGCTAGAGAGGAAATACGGAGTGGTCAAAGGGGGAGAGTTCGGCCTCCTGTTACAGGGGTATATGAGCTATCTAATATAGAAGGTCAAGGAAGGTGGAGGTGGTAAAATAGAAGGAACAATGGAAAGTAACTGAAACTAATCAAGTAAGACAGACCCTCAATATCAGTCCGGCGGTATCTGGATACTGCATGCGAGCCGGTAAAATGGATGTTCTGGCAACGAATATGTTGAGTATGCCTACGGCGGACTAACTACAATACAACCATGGGGAACTTCAGACAATGACTGTTCTCAGTCACCGTTGGGATTGTAGAATAGCCATTTGTCAGATGTCAATCATACACAATCTCACAAAGGTATGCAAAAATAACAATACCAGTATCTCGTTGCAGTAAAGATACCGGTCAGAATTGTGTTGTCAATAATATGATCATTGTCATGTGAACAGCACGATGGCTTGTTCAAATGCAACCACGCAAGTGAAGCATTGATCTATGCACATTGCCAGGGTGAGGTGGTAGTGTGGTTCAGATGCGGCCTTCTCCGGTGGGGAACTTCTGAGACAGACCATCCGGGACTTACCATTGGCAGTACCATCCACCGGTACTGGCCTTGTTGACTTGGCCTTGGTAACCGTGGTCCAGGTGGCAGTGGCAGTGCAGCACTAACCGCGCCCTTTAAAAACTGTTGCAGAGGCAAATTTTGTTCTTCTCTGAACTTGACTTTCCACCACCATGCAATCGACTTTTGCCATGGCTGCACCCTCCACAGAATACATCCCCGCTGAAGAAGCCATTTCAAAGAACATGGCCATGCAGCGCCCCAAGGTTACCACAGCACGGCTACCAAGTGACGCATCTGCATACAAGAAGAAAATTGGCAATGTCATGGCAGTCATTCCCAAGGACCAGAAGGAGAGGGGAAAATGGCTAAAGGAGGCGGAAAAGGTGGGGAAGATGTGGGTATGTCAATCTTTATCCACATATAGTCGAGGGTTAATGCAGTTTGAACAGGCTGCAATGACAAAGCTCTTGCTGGACGAGCCGTGCGCACTGCGGCTCCTGGATGAGGGGCAGGTGCTGTTCCTCAGTCCCCATATGCAGATGCTGTGGGAGTTCTTGGCAGAGGATATGAACGTGACAGGAAGTGTTGAGCAGTAAAATCGTTTGGTATCATGAACTCACAATTTTTCCTAGCGGGCGACAGATTGGAAGGCACACCATCTTGGTGCACCCATTGGCGTGGAGAATGAAGATCTGCCCCTCGAAGCCTGGGTGAAAGACAACGATGATGCAGGCCCAATGCCCCCAGTGATTGCGGCATTACACAAAGAGGATACTGAAGACAGCAGCGTGCTCCCTGGTGACTCGCAGGAGACGGATCAGCTGGCCAGCAATTTGCAAAAACAAGTCATCCTGGTCGCCAAGCCTCTTATTAGTGGGACGCTCCCTTGGGGCGGTATCCCAGCTGCGGTACTTGCACCCACAAGTGCGGAAGGTGGTCCATCCACAACGATAACCAAGGTGGAAGAAGAGGGGGCTGCACATGCAAAGGTGGCAGCCACTGAAGTGGAGCAGGAGGAGGCAAAGGAGGCTGCCGCAGTAGAGGCTGCAGTGGCAATGGATGTCATGGAAAAGAAAGAGGTATGTGTCATGGCGGTACATGGTGTTATACTTGTGCTAATTTGTTGACGTAGGATAAACCGAAACATCCCAAGCCGCGCTGGAGTTTTCAGAAGACCATGACCGTGTCACCCCCGAATGATTCCAATGAGGTGGAGTTGGTGAATAATGCGCTGCCTGGGAGGACGACTGAACAATTGGCGACTTTCATCCCTGCGAGTGCGGTGTGTCCCATTTCCCTGGCATCCTGTATTCTGTGAGCTAATGAGAGTTTGTCTTATAGAAAGCGCGTCCTCCCTGCAGTAGGGGGAACACCATGGAGTCCCATATGGTAGAAGTTGTCGTCCCTCAGAGGGTTATGGTGGTGAGTGCAGTTGGTACTCAGATAACGGTGTTACTTATATGTTTCCAGAAACCCGTCTCCCCCATAACTATGAAGGCCGGCAAGGGCACAAAGAACAAGGGGAAGGCCCAGCTCGGCGCCTGGAATGCACCTGAGCCGACAAATTAATTGGCGAAGGGTTTCATGCTCAAGGCAAAGCCGATGACTGTTGCTGAAGGGTTCATGCTTTTGAGGACATTGTATGGTTTGTGGTGGGAGGTGGCTCCGCTTGAGGATCAGGTACGTGGTTTTTTTTCGGTCAGCAGGGTCATCCTCAATGCCAAAACGGTCACAATAAGCTATATTGAGGAAGGCTTGGAAAACTGGGTCGAGGAAATCGAGGGCCGAATTGTGGAGATGGAAGGGGAGCAGTCGAAATGCTGCAATGGCATACCTTCCGATGCTACCATCAAGTTCAGATATTATGTACGAGCCGCGTTTGTTATGGCAGACCATGACATAGGGGCCTAAATACCAAGGTTGCATTTTATCACGAAGGTCTCCATCATTGCGGCTATTCCGGAGCAGAACAAGAGCTCCAGGCTGAAAGTCATAATCACGAATCTGGGAGTGGTATTTGACTCGAAACCTTTGCACTGAGACTTCTCGTGCATGCAAGATGCATTCATGCATAAGTGCAAGGTCAGTATCTTGTCGTAAGAGTTGGCAGGTATGGTGTTCGAGAAGTTCTGCGGTGGAGAGTGTTGTTTCAATTGGTGGGGACAAAAAGGTGCATTTGGCAACGTTGAGGGGCATCAATGGGTGCATCCCATGAGCCATATAATAAGGACTTAAGCGGTAATGGAGTGTATCATTATTTGCTCGGCCCAGAATACTGCTGGTATGAGGGTTGGCCACTTCGTTACTTCAGTGCCCAAAAGATGGACTAAGCTTTCTCGGACAGTGCAGTGGCTTTGTTCCACAATACCATTTGCACGGGAATTGTAGCCAGATATGCGAATGTGTTTGATATTGTATTGTCAAGATAATTCGGCCATTGCTTTGACCCATGGGGTACTGTTATCAGTAACAATTTCAGTGAGTGTACCCCACCGACAAATCAGGCTGTTGAAGAGAAATTCTGCGAGGTTTTTCCCTGTTTCTGTGCGAAGCATGGTCCATTATGGGTAATGTGTAAGCGAACAGCAGGCTTGGGCAATATAGCGGTATTCTGCTACAGGTGCGGTAGACACCGGCATGAGCATGGAATTGCAGTATGCCTTGCTGAAGAGCCGTGCAGGTTCCTGGACAACCGGTGGTATAATAACACGGGTGGTCTGTTGGACCTGGCATTGATGACACGTACGGATGAACCAGGCAATGTCATTATTCAGAAATGGCCACCAAAAGCATAAGGATATATGTGCATGGAGCGCGCGTTGCCCTTTATGTCCTAAGGTTTCATGGGCAGAGCGCAGGGCTGCAGCACGCCGAACGAACGGAAGGTATAGTTTGTGTTCGCCCGTGGGATGTTGGCGGTATAATGAACAGTTTCCGTTGAGAAAAAAGTTTGTGGCCAATTGAATAAACTTCTTCAGAGCTGACGGAGGGAAATGCAGCGGATTCAATGTCTTATGATATTCAATAATGAGGTTGATTTTCTCGTCATAGGCTTGAGTCTTGGGTTGCCACAGCAAAGGGGCCCCTGGTGGGTGCAAAGCCGGTATAACTGCCGGTATTGTTTCTACCGTCATTGGTTCATCTATTTCAATGCTATCCATAGGGGGTAGCTGTGTTGCAAAAGGCAAGACTGGGCTGGAAGGAGGACTTGCAGGTGGCGTGGTAAATGGTGATTGCAGAGGAGTGTTGGTGAAATCAGAGGGCACATCGGTAAGGGGAGACCCGGGTGGTTGTAATACTCCACTCGTCTGAGACGTCAATGCATGCTGATATGATGGGAGCTGTGAAGCTGCCTGCAGGGCAAAGCAGGGCATGGTGGACAACCCAAGCAGGTCGTCATCAAAGTCCGGAACAGATTCGTCGGCCGGATCATGGGCGGTGGCAGGTCGCCGGGAGAGGCCGTTGGGTGCGGTATGTTTTTCTGCTGGTATATGGATGAGATCAAAGTGAAAAGGCACAATCCAGGCAAGCCAACAATTAATAGTCGTATTGGGTTGAATGTCTGGATTGTGGAGCATGCCTTGGAGGTACTGCGCATCAACTTCCAGTGTAAATACATCAAGGCCAATGAGCCAGACACGGTATGCTTTCAATGCTCCAAAAACGCCGTAGCATTCCAGCTTCACCTGGGAATACCGGGATACTTGCTTGTTCCATGTGATAGATCCGAATCTGGAAGGTCACCGGCGGCCTTGTTCATCAATTTGATACAAGACGAACCCCACTGCAATGTTGCTTGAGTCGACAGCCAGTATAACGTGTCTACTGCAACAGTAGTCGATGGGGCACAGAACGTTATTCTCAGCTGCTTCTTGGGCTGCTGCTTGCAGTGTATGTACAGCGGCAAGTTCCAGTTCCCCAAAGGTGAACAGTACATCTTTCTTTTTCAAGTTCTCAAGCAGTCATGCATGCTGGGCGTAATTCCAAATAAAATTCCTCATGATACTGGTGGTACCAAGGAACAATCTATGTTGTTGCAGGGTAATTTCCAGTCCAGGAGTTTCTGAACCTTTGAGAGATCCAGATGGTGTCCTTCACATGAGCACCAGTGGCCTAATAGAATGATTTCAGGTACGGCAATCTGGACCTTCTCTCCAGACAAGGTAGCACCAGTGTGTTCAATACGTGTGAGAATGCGGTTAACATCCTGGATGTGTTCCCAGATAAATTGGCAGATGCCTGGATTGGACGTAACCTCGTACAAGCCATCTGCTTTGACGTAGTGAGAAGTGGGGCCTTTGATACCACCATCATCGATAAACGGTGTTTTTATGTGCAGTATCTTGGGTTCAAGGAGAAACGTGACATTATCTTGCATGATACTGGGCATGTTATGTGCGCCCATGGGTGCAACACAGTATCGAAGAGGACCAAGCGAGGATTGGAATGTGGTAAGATCACAAGACTCTGGTGCCAGAGTGTGTTGTTCAAAGCCTCAGAAAAAGTCTAACAGCAAATAACAACTGTGACCTCTGTAGGATTTGATGAGATGCTCTGTTAATGGCAGTACCAAAGAGCTTTTTACCATAACACCATTCAGAGGTTGCAAATCAATGACAGGGCATAATGTCCTGTTTTTCTTGGCCACAACAAACCAGCTGGACTGGTATGCAGACTGTGCAGGCTTGTACGTGCCAGCCTGAATCTTCTCACAGATGGTTTGAATGACTTGGTCCAATAAGGCCGGAGCAAGCAGTATATTTTTATGCTGCCACAGGGTATGTTCAATGGTTGGGAAAACTACCGGGTCAAAGTAGTCACTGTGAAACTGCCCGATTTTGACTTCTTCCCATGAAAAGGCCATCTCATGAGTGCATAGGACCCATTTAACTAGGTCCACTTCAGCTGGCCAAAGGAACTTTGTTGCATTGAGATTCATGTCATCCAAATGTTCCTGTGTTAGGCAGATGCTGGGTTGAAAGGGTGGTGGAAATAACGGCACTACTGGTAGATGTTCCAAGGGATCTGAAGGGAACCATCAATGGATTTTGAGGTTTTCAGGATGTGTGGTAGCCACCGGTTGGACATGATGTTCAACAGGCTTGTACTTATGCACTGCGAGGATATGTTGTTTTTCATCATATTCGTAATAGTCAGCAAGAAATGAAGCTCAGGGCAATGTAGTGATAGACAGTATTGTGGTGGTAGATGTAGTATTGTGGATTAGAAACATCTCTCATTGATCCTTTCTCAATTCATCAATGTTTACTGAAAATCTGATTGAGACAGGGTGTCTTCCTGAGGATCCAAATCCTTAGGTCAAGGGGCCCAGTTCTGGGTTGGAATGATGATCATTATTGTGGTATTGGGGCATGTTAGCATTAGTTGTTGATCCCCATTCAATAGGTCTAAAGACTGGCACTTGAGCAATGTGAGGAAGGGTTGTCCAAGAAGCAAATCGAATGGTGATTTGCAGACAATATGGACTTGTAAGAAGAGAGATATAGGTCCGATAGTGACACAAAGGTTATGAACACATCCTAATGTGCTACTTGCTTGATCATTTGCACTTTCCATGTTGATGACTGAGTCTGGATAATATGGTACTTTCAGATCTTTCCACATATTGTAGTTCATGGCAACCAATACTGAACCAGAGTCAAGGCACCCATGCATTTTCATGTCATTGTCACTGACCAATAATTTGATAGCACACAAGGGGACAATAGTTTTGCCAATGACCATGCTTGCTGGGGCATCATTGCTGGAAATGTGCAGTGTGTGAGCCCATGTGGGGACATCTTTTGCCTGTACAGCCTTGCAGCATGTACCATCTGTCACAGCCATGGTGTCAATACTGTCAGTATCCTCTTGTAGAAAAACTGGTTGTACTCCACATTGGGTCCAGTGAACTGATGTCTGATAATTGACCATTTTCCTGACATCTGGAGATACTGCTAACAATTCTCGGAATGTCAAGGTCATCAGTACATTGAGCATGTTTTCGAGTACACTATTAACAAGAGCTGTCTGTTCAATGGGTGCTTGTAGGTGAGTGCATTGGGTGTTTTTGGAATCCACAATGGCTTGGGCTGATGGGGGGTCTTTGTGCTTCATGGCCTCTTCTTTAATGGTGATGGGATCTACTGACCATGTCATGTGCAGCAGTATATTGTGGTGTGCAACAGTATCTGTTGTGACAGGCTTCTGAGGTGCCATAACCTGCCTTTCTACTGGGGGACCTTGCTGTTGGGAATGGTTCCTGATTTGACTGATTTCGACTTGCAAGGCATGAATTTGGTCCAGTTGTTCTTGTGATAGTAGACCAGTGGTATCCTTTGGCTCAGTACCCATGAATAATGCATTTGGGGTTTCCACTGCAAATGCTTGTGCAAGTGGTTCAGCAGTAGTAAACAATTCGACTGGCACCATGCCTTGGCCCTGTTGGTTGATTTCAGCTGTCTTATTCCTGGGATTCTGCTGATGCCATGTTCGGATGCAGTCATGGAGTAATTTGCCCTGTATAGCAGTAGGTACATATCAACCTGTCGGCAAGACCACTCTGCAGTCTTGGTTCCTGACAATGAACCCATCATGCATAGCAATTTCCACATCAGGGCATTTGTTGATGAAATGGTCTGGAAGGCTGCACCAAGTACAAGTTTGGGTAGATGCTGTACCGGAGTTTGTGTTACTTGCATTACCCATGGTATTCTGACTGTATGCATTGTTTGTATTGTAATTGTTACCAGTATTTGAAGAGTGCTGTGAACTGCCTTGTTGTACCAGTGTGTTGAGTACATTGACAATATTATCCAGCTTGTTGACTAAGGTATCTGTGGTCGCAGAATACACTGGTTCAGCTTTGAGGGGAAAAGCCCCCAATGTTCCAGTATTCAAAGATGTATCTGGAGGTGAAAAACTGGTATTTGTACCAATATTTGAAAGGGATATGATGGGCACATCAGCTGGGGTAGCATGAAGCAGCCAAGAAGCAGTATTTTGTACATCAGACTTTGGGTATGGAATTTCTGGGTGATGCTTGGGGAACTCAATGGTGAGTTTAGCAAGAACTTGACTTGTGAGTTCAATATGCAATCCTTGCAGGAATGCGTGGTTCTTCTCTCTTTCTGATAACTGCTCTCCTTTGCCAAATGACCTAGTGATGTGGTGGAATGCACAAATGTACTCTCCCAATTGGGCTCAAGTACTCATCAGTACCATGGCTGATTTCCACTTTAATTCCTTGAGATCCATGTAGGTAAAGATTTTGTCTTCCTGTGATGTGCCTGGATATAGCTTGTATATGTTGGCCTTCCAGGTGTCATAATCACCTTCTTTGAATGATGGTAGCTTCTTCCAGACCACTTCAGTAGCAGCTGGAGTATACCATGCAGCATATTTGGAACATTGGGCAGCTGGTAGTTTGTTGGATTCTGCACACTGTTTGAAATCATTGAAATACCACCATAGATCTGTAGGGGCATTCAATTCTAGTTTATTGTGTGATGTCCTCAGTGGCATTTGACCACCAACATCTCCTTCTGGGTCAAGTCATGGTGGCATGATAGAATTGGAAGGCTCTTGATCTGAAAGGTCAGTAGATGGTGGTACAATGATATTGGAATCAAGTAATTCTGACACATTTTGTGAGGATGTGGTTTCTAATGGTGTATTAATGGTAACTTGAAATACCAAATCACTTGGTAGTTGTTCTTCTGGTTCTTGTTCAGTTTGGATAGACTCCTCAAGTTGTTGCAAAAGTTGGGAACACCTTGTTTGAACTATGTTGGGCAACTTGGTATCTCTGCAGGTTCACTGAGAGATAATGGCAGTGTCTAATCTCAAGTGTTCTATGACAATGTGGCAGTAATGATGAAGATCATGGTAATAACACTGGGTATGATGACAGAGGGTATGATGGAGTATATGATGTATGACAATATGACAATAGCAATGGGTGATGACAGTAGACAGTGGTTAACAATGTGGCCATAATGATGGGGACCGCACTAATAAATGCTGGGTGTGATGGTTTGATGATGAGTAACGAGTGCAAAGATGGGAGGGCAGTATTGGATAACTGATGATGTGCCCTGGGAATAAATCACAGAGGAGAGCCTCATGTTGGGCTCCACTTGATGTGACTCCTACTGTACTGTAGATACAATAGATAGTCTAATCAAGCTCTTGTGTGAACCTCCTATGGGTGAGCATGCTTCTGGATAACAAATGTTGGTATATCAGTATATCAGTATATCCATGATGATGTGCTTGAATAGGATGTGATATCAAGGAGAGTGGATAGCTAGAGAGGAGATACGGAGTGGTCAAAGGGGGAGAGTTTGGCCTCCTGTTACAGGGGTATATGAGCTATCTAATATAGAAGGTCAAGGAATGTGGAGGTGGTAAAATAGAAGGAACAATGGAAAGTAACTGAAACTAATCAAGTAAGACAGACCCTCAATATTGGTCTGGCAGTATCTGGATACCACATGCAAGCTGGTAAAACAGATGTTCTGGCAACAAATATATTGAGTATGCCTACGGCAGACTAACTACAATACACCACATGCCACTGGGGTTTGTGAAGCCTCACAACCTCAGGCACCTGCTGAATGAACTGCTTTTCCAGCTGTGTCTGCTTGTCAAGTTCCTGCTGTGAAGGCACTTCCACAACCTCCTTGATAATCAGGACACCTGTCAATGGAGGAAGCCTGGGGAATGCAATGCCATTCTTGTTGGGGGATGCCAGCACTGGTTGTGTGAGGGGTAGCCTCATAACACTGTATCCCATGCTTTGACTTCGCCCCTCCCACACTCATTGTTGGTGAAAAGCCTGCTCTAACTGCGCAGAACAGCATTTACAGGTATGGCACTGTTCTATGACATCATGTATTTATTTCCTCTTATGACTGTTTACTTGTCATTCTAGATTGCAATATAATTTCATCAGTAGCAGTTCCCATTTGTAAGAATAAGGAATTAGAATCCATTTTTGGAGCCTACATTACTACATTTGGTGTGCGGACAGGCTTGAGGGATCCGTGACATCATAATAACGAAAGCTGTGACAGTGATCCGCAAGATAGCACTGTCATGATATTAGCAATAATCAAACCATTTAGTATCATTGTACCAACAACCGTTGATTTGAAATGGAGACGGACACCAGAGCGGAATGCGGAGCGGCAGAAGAACGATATTGGGCTTTTCAGGGACCGTTTCCCGCGTCTTCGCGGGGATGACTGCATCGTGTAGTGACCTGGGCCCGAACCCTTCTTCGCGCCACCTTCGGTTGGACACTCAGGTCGTCCCATCGTCACCTCCTTTCCGTTGTCCCACAAGTATGGCAGCCAATACTCTACCCATCTCAAGACAATCTCTGCTTCCCTCTCCTGAGTCTTCATTGGGAACCCACGCTCGGGATGAATCTGGCGGTTCGGCCCCCCGAGCCTCGAAAATTAGTCGTCACTACAACGTTCCTAGAGTCTTGGAGAAAGGCATAGTGCTGCTCAATGACTTCAACTTAAGTGATGCACCGAGCAGACAGACTCGAGACGGTCTCATCAACATGTTTATGATAACGGTGCAACTTGAGGCGGCGAATTTTGGCGTTCGCTGGAACCAAGCCTTGGCAACGGAGCTTAAGTCGATCCTCGAATCACACACGTGGAAGTTAGGGGAAAACAGCGTCGTAGACGTGCTATGGAGTTCGTTCTTTCTTTTCCTGCAAAGCCCCATCTCCCATTCACGCATCTTCTGCAGATCGAATTAGGGCTTTTCGTCCAACACGCCACTTTGTGGATCCTAGCGACATGCAGGGTCAGTGCTGTTGGCCTGTCTTTTCGCCAAGGTCACTTACCGCGTTTGTTACAGTCAACGTAGACGCCTGAAAGGAGACCTTCCGAGGCGAAGGGGCTGTTCTCCTGATGGAGCACATCGATGCTCAGTACCAAGAGTTCCGAAAAAAGGAGCCGGACAGGACGATGGCGAAGAAGACCAAGGCCAAGCTCGTGCCAAGCTACTACGGAATGTTCTTCCTAATCGCCAACTCATCTGGCATGGGGAAGTCGAGGAGTTTGTCGGAGGTGCTGAAAAAGCGGATGGGGATCGTGATAGCCTTGCGAGAAGATCCAGAGGGTAGGAATCCCGACGCTATCACCTGGTATCCCATCTCACGCGGTCGCTCTAGGATTTCCGCCAGCAGATAAGGAAGTCTTGGAATACCTCCAACTAGCAGATACAGCTGAGAAGTGTCAGAAAAAGCTGATGTGCTTTCTGACCGGCCTTTTCAAAATATGGTGCGAAGACCTGCGGGCGCTCAAGGAAACGCACGGTTACAATTCCGAGGAGCTCGCGGCGGTGTTTCACGGTCAGATGGAACGCGGCCATAAATTCGATGCGCCGGGATCCCAAAGAATGGCTTTTCTAGAGCGAGTACTCGCCAGTGCCAATGAGTAAGCGCTGTCGCCGATCCCGAGGATGTCTACTGACTCAATGGCAAGGTCTGAAGAGGCGAAACTGAGGACCCCGCGTCGTGAAGGAGAAGACCGAAGACAGGGAGAAGAGATGACTGTCGAACCTGCGTCCTCCGGCAGCCCAGACTCCGAGCACAATCCTGTCGACAAGGGTAGTATCAGTGACGCAGAGACTCAAAAGTTGTCCCCATCGAGAAAACCAGGGTCTTCGCCGTTTGAAAAGGGCTGGTAACAGCCATTCGTCGCCTGACTGCTCTGCTGTCGGAAGAAAACTCTGTGGACGGCAAGCCGCGCCTGATTCTCGCATTCGACGAATGCCGGTTCCTCATCAAAGACCGACGTGTTGCCGGAAACACGGGGACAACATTCAATATTTTTGAGCAACTCCGCCATATCATCCGAACTCTGCGCCGCGAATCCTGCATGTTTATCTTTCTTTCTACCGAAACGAACCTTGACCCGTTCTACCCTCCACCTCACGTGGATTCCTCCGGAAGAGTGCAAAGCCGGGAGTTAACGCTCTTAGAACCTTTTACAGTTTTCCCCCTTCCGGGCATGCCGCTGAAAAAGGTCCTCACTGTCTATGATGTCACGACAGTAGATTTTCAAGCCAAAAGGGGGTGATGGCTGTGAGTTTCGTTCTCATTTCAGACTGCAAGAGACTGACCGTCGTCAAACAGTTTCCGTACGCGTGAGAAAAAGGGCGATGAAGATATAAAAGCTCACCTTGAGGACTTTGCGGCACAAAAGCTGCTTTGCTCCAAGGAACCTTACGGGAAGAACCTGAAGGCGGATGAGGCGTTTGCGGTTATATCGCACTTAGTGCCCTTGGACATTCGCACCGACGTACGCATTCATCGCCCTATCAACGAGCAGGACCAGAGTGCGCGCGATTTTGGCGAGAAGCAAGTCGCCAAGCATCTGCGCGTTCTGCTCGGCATTACAGGACGAGAGCAGATCAAGACCGTCGCGTCGAGCGAGCCGCTACTCGCGACGGGAGCCGCAAGGATTTTGTCGAGTATGGAGTCGGCGCGACCGGTCCATCTGCTTCAGCAGATCTTTGACCCGCCTGCCGTCGATAAGGGCGAGCGGGGCGAAGTCATTTTCGAGTTTATATCGATCCTGGCCCGGATTAACGCGGTCGAGAAGAAACAGTCGCCCGTCTTCAGTGTTGTGGAATTCTTCGATGAGCTTTTCGACCTGGACGATAAGGAACGAAAAGAACTGTACGACTCTCCGCCGACGCGAGATAGAAATGTCAAGTCCAACCCTCCTGCAGGACAATCTGGTCACGTCGAGACCGAGTCCTCGGAAGAAACAGCTGGAAAAGACAAGACGAAGACCTTCAAGGAAACGTTTCAATCGTGTTGCATGAATTTCGCGCAATGCGTCAAGGTGACCCGCGACGACATTCATCTTGGCGAAAGTTTCGACCCCAAGCACTTTTGGAAATACCTGATTCGAATGGCATTCATCTCGACCAAGACGAACTAGCGGGCGATAGACTCAGCCTTCCCTATCGCAACGGACCCACTCGGTACCATCAATGAAGCAACCTGTAGCGGTTCGTTCAATCAAGTCAAAACGGACCCACGCGTCGGGTGCAGCCAGGCTAGAAATCTCGCAGACAATTTCGACACCGTGCTCCAGGAGTGGCAGGACAAGAAGCCACACATTCGACTCATCATTTCGCTCGGGTCTTCGGAAGATCAAATCAAGTTGTATCCTCCAGTGAAGCCCAGCCCCCGCAACCCTGAGAAATTCACTTGCTGGTTCATCTACTGTCCGTTAAAGAAACTGAAGCCGTGTAAGGCAGAGTTGAGCACGTGGCAGATGCTTGTGGGAAAGGCGAGGGAGCTGCAAACCTGGTATCCGCATCCGGCGGTGATGGCCATGAATCCAGGAGGTGGTACGAGCGACGGATTCTGGCTGAATGAAGATGATGAGTGAAGTCGGGAGTTCTACCGTTCCGTGTGTTATTTTTTCACAATACTGTACATATGTAGCTTATCGCGCGGACATGCCTTCAGCGACAAGTTCTAGTGGCGCCGAATGCGAGAATATCTACGATCAGTCAAGGCTGAGCAGATCAGGGTTTACGAATCACTTTATTATGTCTTCTACTGTACAACCCGTTCCCACGTCTCTCCCGTCTTCCTCGCTCTAGGTCCTGACCTATTTCCGACCTGATTGAATCAGGCCTCTCGCTTGGCTTCGTCACGCATCGTCCGCGCTTAGGACCACAAATCAGATGGGCGCTAATGTTGGGCACGCGCTCAAGCTCCGGACATGCTCCCCGATTGCTTCCGAGCACAGCCCCAAAGGTTTTGTTCGGGCCGGCCACCCTTTGATGTACGTACCTTGAACTCTACATCTTTTACTCAGCAGGCGCTCGTGAAAAATTATTGTTTTTGCTCTTACTTGTCGCTTAAGACCGGAATGGTTTGAATTTGGTCACCACGTCATGATATTACATTGCCTGTATGTTCGGTGCGGATAGAGTCGGACCACCGCAACTTGACTGCCGTAACCGGACATTGGATCTATTCATGACAGATGACGTTTGGCTACATTGATCTGGATTCGCCTGACGTGATTCTGACTGTGCACAGTACTCTACCCGCGGTGTTTTCGTTCCGATTCTAGGATGACCTCTTCAGTGCCGGATGTGCGAAGGATATAAAACATGGACGTACACCTCGCTTCATCATCTCCAGCACTCAAGCGACTCAGCTTCGCCACAACACTAGCCTAAGCCTACCGACTAATCTTTCTTTCCCCCTCCCTAAAATCATCATTCACAATGTCCGGCAATCAGGCAGTCGACATCAACCCGCCTAATGCGCAAATCAGCATTAACACGAACGGTTCGGACTGGATGTGGGCGGCATTTGCCCTTTTCATGCTCTCCGACCTCGGCATGATTGCATGGATGTACATGCGCCATAGTGCACAGCGCGTTCTGCACGTCGTACCCATCATCGCTCTCTCGATAATGTCGGTCGCATACTTCTCCATGGCTGCCGATCTCGGTAGCACCCCGATTGTCGCAGAGTTCTACGGGAACCACCATCAGGTTTACGCGGGCGACCCTGCTACACGTGCCATCTGGTACGCAAGGTACATCGGTTGGGTCCTGACAATGCCCCTGCTCGTCCTCGAAGTCCTGTTCACCGCCGCGATGTCGCCCACTGAAGTGGCTTCCACAATGTTCTTCCAAGTGGTCGCCTTCGTATCGTTCCTTGTCGGTGCGCTTGTCACATCGACCTACAAGTGGGGCTACTTCGTCTTCGCCGTCGCCTCTCTCGTTTACGTGATCGTCACCCTCCTCGGGCCTGGTCGCAATGCTGCTGGACTGATCAGTGACAGCGTGCGCAGCATCTTCACACGCAATGTCTCTGTCCTGGCATTCCTCCTGTTCCTGTATCCCATTGCCTGGGGTTTGGCTGACGGCGGCAACGTTATCACCTCCGATGGCGAGATGGTCTTCTACGGCGTCCTCGATATACTTCTCTACATCTGCTTCCTTTACGGCTTCGTATACCAGCTTCGCGCTACCGATGTCTGCTGCTTTGGCTTCGGTCCCAAGACGCACAAGCTCATCACTGAGAAGCCTGTTCCCGCGGCTGCTCCTGCTGTAGCTCCTGCACCTGAACAGATTGTATAAGAGGTCGACTTTTTTCATCACCACTGTATCCATGACCTGATACCGTTGAACGACGGTCTATCTATCTCCAAACAACATCCTGTCACTAATAATGTAATGCCGTCACGAATAATTACGATTTGGTTTCTGCAGAAATTACGAGTCAGAGGTTTGTTTCACCGTTCTTAAACCTCGTTAGATGACGGACCTCGTGCATAACAGCCATGGGTATGTACGTATTGTGACTCGATGCATTGAGATGAGCACGACTATTCTACATATGATATGATGCATGTAACAAAGAACGAAGCGAATTGTAATGAAAATCATTATATCAGTTCAAATTCATCATCGCTCTTCCCTTCCTCCTTCCCGCTGCTCTCGATGTCCGGGCTGCTCGACTGAGCGAGAACCTCGTCCTCAAACTGCACCTTATGAGAGAGCTCGTCAGAAATCGGGACGGGCACAAACGCCCTCGATAGCAGCGGGGATGCGTTCTCCGAGACAGGCTCTGAGAGCGGAACGACCCCAACAGTTGAAGGCGCATGATCTTCTTCGACTCCGGGCGTAGTAGCTGACTCAGCTAGTTGTAATGCACGTGGCTCAGTCTTAACAAGTACCGGCTCTCCGACAGAATCGGCCACGAGACCCGCCGATGACTCGACACTGGGGATAACCAACGTGGACTCGTTCGTGGGCTCTGCAGTGAACTGTTCCGTCGTCATAATCGTGGCGTCATCGTGATGGTCCACGATTGCGGATTCTGGGGTATCGGCAATTTCCACGGATTTCACAACATTGGGCTCCTCGATAGCGAGATGCTCGACAACATGATCGCCAATGCCGCGTTCGTCGACGGCGACTTCAATGAGTGGAGCTTGCTCGGTAGCGGGTTCGGCGGCAACAGGGTCAGATTCAGCAGTGGGCTCCTCAACCGTCTTCTCTACAGTGGCCTCCTTGTCCGTCTCTTCGGTAGTCGTGGTAACAACCGGCTCGTCGTTTATGCCAGCACCCGGCACCTGAGCAGTGACCGTGTCTTCGGTCAGAAACTCGTTCAGCAGCGCTTTTGTAGAGGCGCGGTCGTCCGCGTGCGTCAAAGCCGGTTCAACAGTCTCGCTGACAGGTTCGGTAATCGACTGCGTAGCACCATTGGTGATTTCAACTTCTGCAGGCGTGGGCTCGACGACAGACTGCTCGATTGGCTCAATTGCCTCGACCTCCGACTCGGAAGATGACAGGAGTTCCTCCTGGAGGTTCTCTCTCTCCCACGCACGGCGGATTTCAGCCTCGACCCAGCCAAGTTCCTTCTCCACTTTCCTCACCGATTCCCTCCTTGCCCTCCTCACTTCTTTATCGCCCTCACTGTCGATCCCATCCAGCTCCTGTAAGAGGGAGTTGAGCGCGTGCTCGTACGAGTGGATAGGCGCATTCTGGGCCGTGTAAGCTAGTTCGGGAGTGTCCAAGAAAGCGAAGGTCAGCACGCGGGGGAAAGCGAAGGCGTAGGTAAGAGACTCGAATTTGGCTAAGAGGAGCTGAACTTGCTGCAGGGCGAGATCGCGTGCTGGGGACTCGGACCGAGTTGGCTCGGATACGATGGGTTCGACGGGCGGGACATCGACATGCATGGCGGGGGAATCGAGGTCGGCAACGATAGGCACAGCAGGCGCAGGGACGGTCTCTACAATAACCGGAACCTCAACTGGAACAGGAGTGGGGATCGGGATGGCAACTTGGACCGGAGCAGGAGGGGCCTCCTCTTGCTGGGAGTAGCTTGGGCCGGCGTACTCGCCCCTGAACCTCACTTTCCTCTCTTGCTTGGGCTGGACTTCCGGCTGAGGTTGCTCAGGGGCCTTTCCTTTGCCCTTGACGTCAACAGACGTAGACGTAGTGGCCGGAACGTCGGGAGTCGAGTCGTTGAAGTCGATGAACCTCCCGAGGAGTTCGCCGAGGAAGGTCTCCACTACAAGACGTTGCGCGTTCCTTCTTTGTTGTTCGAAATCTTCGGCGGTCTCCGGTTCATCGGGTGCCTGGGCACCAGCAGCAGCGGCTTGTGCAAGACGCTCAGCCTCATGCCTCTCCCTGACCAGTTTCATCTTCTGGATCTTCGCCTGCCTCTCCTGCTCCGCGATTGCCTGCGCACGCTGAGTCTCAGCAGCTTCCTGCGCTTCCCTCTCCGCCTTCTTGGCCAACAGTCGGGTACGCTCCACCTCGAGCTCCGCAAGCCGCTCGTCTTCTGACTTGCGGCGAATCGCGTTCTGCCGATGGAGTTGCTGGTCGGGAGCGGAGAACATCGACGCGAGCTGCTGGGAGGCGAATAGCTGAGCGGATGAGATCTCCTTCTCAACTTGGGCGCGTTCGCGCTCGAGCCGGGCAAGTTGGCGCTGACGATGCACACGTTGCTGTTCGATTTGCCGCTGACGCTCCGATTCACGCTGACGTTGCTGTTCACGCTGACGTTGGCGCTCTTCTTCCAACTGTTGCTGCTGACGCTGGGCGATGAGACCGCGAAGTTGGAAGACATTCATACTTTGCCGGCGACCGAAGTGAGGTGCAGCAGGTTGGCGATAGTACCCATCGTAGTCTTCATATCCGCAGTTCTGGTATGCACTACCCCAAGTACGGGAGGCAGGAGCAGAGGGGCGCCTGTTCATCGAGGCGTAATCGATATCGTAAGGCAGTTCGGGCTCGATCTCGTACAGAGCCGTGGGATGACGACGACCAGATGCGTGAGTGTGTCGGCGAGCAAGACCCGGATGACCACGGTACCCGTCGAACGAGGGCTCTGATGGGAATGTCAACGTAAACATATCCGTCGTCTAGTATAGTAAGAGGTTGTCGATGATGAGAGAACAAAAGCCTAGGTAAACCAGTCTTCTGTATCGTTAAGAGTTGGTCATCCGACCTGAGCAGCGCAAGAGCCAGCCTTTATAGTAAAACCCAAGGCAAGCGGCTCCGTTTCTGACCCGGGGACGCGCATGTATTTCATGTCAGCACAAGCGCAGCCAGGATGTTCCATAGGCAGCCAGAGGTAAGAAGACCCTGCTAGAAGGAAAGCGGCGGTGCGGAATAATGGGTGAGGCCATGGGCGCTTACGACTCACGTGCTGGAACTTTCCATTTATGACTCAGCACGTGAGAACACGTCACATTGCACTTAGTATCAGGTAAAGGTCAGTCTAATGTTATTCTTTCATTTGATGCTTTTTCCCCCCAGACAGCAGATATATCGTACACGTATTTTCAGTACAAAATCACGGGATAAACACTTTCCACTCCCCGTACCCCAGCTTCTCGTTTCCCTTTGCAGGACTAGAGATCCTCACAGGCACCTTCAAGTCTAGTGACGCGTCCATAGACGGCTCTTCGGCAGTCGTCAGCCCCTCCCGTTCCGGCTCCGTGAGTGTCCCTTCTGAAGCCCTGTCAGCGTCATCCATCTCTGCATCTGCCGGTTCGGGCGGTTCGATGACCGGTGTGGGGGTAGGAGCAGTACTGGCAAGTTCGTCCTCCACCTCCTGCTCATCAGCCGTCTCCGCTTCCTCCCTTGCGGTGTGTGACATGTCACGCTCGGACCGTCTCCCACACGTCCTCAGGCCGCACGTCCACCCATCCCTCCAGTTCTTCCAGAGATTCATCTCCCGCATTAGAACCCGAAGGGTCTCGGTCCATCTGCATGGTGCTTTCCTCTCCTGTGCTGATGTCCGGAATGGTGGGGATGGTGTGCACCGTGGTGGGCACGTCGAGGCCCAGCATCATCCCCCCCTGTTCTCTTTCCAGCTCCGGGTCCTGAGTGCGGGGTAAAGGCGCGTCTCGAGCTCGAAGAGTGAGTTTCTCACCCGCTGGTAGTCCACCCATCTCAGGCTCGAGGGGAACCGCACCCGCACCATGTTGCCTCCCCCAAGCAGCCCGGATTGCACCCTCCATCTCTCTCAGAGCTCGCTCGATCTTGCCTACGAGGCCCTTCCGCCTTCCCCGCACTCCGAGGTCACCGTTACTCTCCACACCGTCCAGTTTCTGCAGCAGTTGCGTGAGAGCGTGCTCTTGCGCATGCACGGGTGTGTTCTGCGCGTTATATAACAGTTTCGGAACGGTTTCCCCCTCGCCATCCTCTTCCGCAAAAGAGGGTGCAGACGGTGCGGAGAGGTCAAAGTCGAGCGTCGGCGGCATTTGGAATGAAGATAAGAGGGAAGTGACTTTGCGGGAGATGGCGTCTAGCGATGCATGCGCGCGTGTGCGCTGCTGATGCGCACGGTAGGCAGCTTGGATGGTGTTGGCAGCAGCTTCTGTCTGTTCCAGAGTGGGTGGTGTGGGTCTGGGTGGAGGTTGGGCTCTGGCAGCTGGGGGTGAACTGTCAGATGCTATTAGGGGTAGAGGTGGGTCAGCACACTCACCAGGTCTCGTAGGAAGAGGAACAGGAATAGAAGCCGGTGACGGACTCTTCCTCTTCCTCATCTGCTCCGCGTGCAACTGCTGAGCTCGTAAATGGGCAGCATGCTGATGCTGTTGCGACCTAGCGAGTCGTTCCTCCTCCGCAAGGCGCCTCTGTTCCACCAGATGCCGGTGGTGCGCACTCTCCCTGAGCTGTCGCTCGTGTTCTGCTCTCCGGCGAGCGAAAAGCGCATCGTCATAATTCCCCCGTCTTCCACGAGGGATGTACACCCCCTCGTCTTCTTCTTCTTCTTCTTCCACAGGGTTGGGAAGGGCGAAGCCAAACGGTCCATAAGCAGAACGTGTTGCTGCTTCCCTCTCTCGCTGCTCATGCGCGGCTAGGGCACGCATGTAAGCATCGTCTTCGGTGTCATAGTAGTTGTACGGAGGGCGAAAGAAAGTCTGGGGAGTACGACGGTTTGATGGGTAGAGAGGTGTGTCACCGGTGAAGAATGGAGAACCGTTGAACATCTTTGTACCTGTTATCGAATGTTCAGCACTACACTTGTATACGACGCACTTGTTATATTGTCCAATTGTTGAAGAATTGAAGAAATAGTTGACAGTAAATGATAAAGCACACTTGCCGAAGAAAGTAAAGACTTTTCAAAGTACACTGCCCTATGTCCAGAGAGGGCGCGTCTGACTCGGTGCGACTAGACAGCACTCGACCCTTCTAGTGCTCTCCGGAGCCGAGATTTATCCGACTCTGAAGGAGAACACCGGAGATGCGGTTCCGGCAGAATGTCTCTGCCAGCAACGACCATCAGACACGTCCTTCAGTATCCAGGTTTGTCTGTCGCTGTCAGCTTCGAGTTGTCGAGTTGGGATTGGTCTGCATATATACCCTCACTCAAACGCTCTCCAAACACCGGCCATGGAAGCATTTGAAGATGAAACCTTTAATGAGTTCGACGGCCAGCTCACGGCGATGAATCTTCTCAATACAGATCATCTCGGCATCTGTCGTACTGGTCGTCGCATGAATTGGTATGGCAAAGTAGTGGAGGTTCGATTCAACCCGGACGACACCTTTGCACTTTTCGATCCTGACTCCGTCACGATGCAGAAGCAGGCAGCCGGCCAGCCTGGTAGTCTCGCCATCGTCCAGAATATCTGGGCGCCATTTCGCTCGTTCCCCACCCCGCACATCGTTCTCAATGCGCCATACAGCTTCGTCTCCCTCATCTACCTCACCCTTCGGCCTTGGAATGCTCCGCTATGCGGATGCTTCTATCCGGTCCACATGCTCCGGAGCCGATCCACCGGCGAGCTGCTCGGCCGCCTCGATATCGATCTTTGTGAAGGTGCGGTCCTCAGCAACAGACAAATGTGTACTTCCGACGAGCTGCACGACGCATCGCAAGACTACGGCCTTCCGACCTTCTCTGGAGAAGAGATTGCCAAGCTTCGACTTGCGTCCAGCATTCTTTCCCAACGGACACGCTTGTGTCACCGGCTGGCGACAAAGGATCCGCGACAGACCGACCAATTCCTCATTGGACAGGCTACATATAGTATCAACGACCCATTTATCGCGTCCTTGGTGATTCAACAGTACTGCGAAATGCACAAGCGGTGGTTGTTCGTCCGCACTTTCGAGGACATCCCACGCCCCAGTCTTGCATGGACTGGTCCTACCCCCGAGAGTATTCCACTCCCCAGTCCAGCATGGAAGGGACCAGTCGTTGTCTCGCTCAAATTGGCAAAGCTTAGGCAGCGTCCTGTCCATGTTCGCCTTTCCGGTCACGATGACATGGCAGTGTCTGACAACGGCTTGGACGAGATTTCGGACATGGACTCTGCCGAGGAAGCCTGGCTTGACTTGGAGGCCACTCCTGGGCCCGGGGAGGAATGCGATCCTCAATGGGCACACGAGGGCCAGGACGAGGCGAGGCAAGTTGTGCGTGCCGACTTTCCAGTGCGAGCAGCTCCAGACTGCCCCAGTCCATCTCAGCAGCTCGCCTGCGTAGCTCTCGAAGAGGACCATGCTTACAACGACACGGTATGGGAACAGTCTTGCTATGGCGAGACGGAGTCATCTCATACTTGCCAATCTGTCGATGCAGACGATGTGATGCTTTTCAACGAGAGACATTGGCATCTTCAGCGCATATTCAAAACTAAACTCGAGAATCTGACTCCCCAAGAAAAGGGTAATGCGGTCATCATTACGGTGTTTGGAGTGAGCTGGGACCTATACGATCTGGACGACCAGAGCGTACTTGCTCTCGCAGGCACCAACCGATGGCTACGGAGACGATTTCAGCTTGCCGACCCCCTTCGCCTATTCGACATCTCTCTGTCCTTCCCCGTGGACGACAATCTCACGCTGTCGACCCAAAAGGTCAGAAAACTCTCCCGTCTCGTCGAGTCGCTCCAAACCGGCTGGCTTGATGACCGGGGCATTCTATTTCGCTTCGTGGTGACTCTCTCGTTCGAGCCGATCAAGTCGCATCCCGATGGCGTCCCCGGGCAACCATATCATGAATGGCTGTCAGCCGTCGTGGATCTCCTCACGGGCCTGCCCCTTAGGCCTGCGCATGTCAAAGTCAGGGACAGCCTGTGTGACAAATTTGTGGAGGCAGTGCGGGACAGAGGGTTTGCAGTCCTGGACGGGCGCGATACTTTACAAGTCATTCGATCGACCCTCACGGTTTTGTACGACGATCGCGATAGGACTCATACTTGGGTCTCCCGTCAAGCTGTTCTGGCAAGGATGGATGCTTACCCGGAGCTGACAGAGCTGTTCACTTCTTTGGTGAATTGGAAATTGCATGGAATTGAGGAGGAGGTTTAGGTGCGACAAGCTCGTGGCAGCTATGAACTCATCCATATTGTTTCATTCCTCTACGAGCCATTGCTAGACTACCTATTCCCGTATTCATCCCCGCCGCATTCTGTTCTGGAATGCGATTTGGATCTCTGCCCGCCTGTGAAACACACAAGTGTTAGCAGTTAGTTACCTGGAACGCTATGCATAACACCAACGAACTCATTTTGGGGCAACTGATCGTAGAAGTCGAGAATGGTCATGCAGCCGAGATCCGGCACCTGTGCGAACAGATAGGTTTGAATCTGGATCGAATGAGAACATAAGCAGAGCCACTCTTTGCTTTGACCTGGAGAAGGGATGGCATACACAGGGAATGTCCCAGCTGATGCCCCACTTCACCACCAGACGCTGATCGCCAAGGATGTATCCCGGCAAGCGATTCAACGTCGAGATTGTTTGCGTTTTGGGGATCGCCAAACCCTCATCATCGGTCGGATATCCGTGGTTTACTGGAATCAGATGCGGCGCACCACGCTCTACGGTCGTCACCCGGGCCTGTGTGGACCCCCATAACGTCTGGATGCGCCTGTCTTCATCCTGTGCGTACTGGAGCGCCGCTGACGCGCTGTGCGCGGCGGCAATTCGCCGGTTCTTCTCGGACCGACAGTCCTCGAGAGTCCATGGCACTTGTCGCTGGGCAAATCCGAGCAGGCCTGCAATGCGAGCCGAGGCCCACAATACGCGCTTGGTTTGAACCTCATTGGGGGTGGGGGGACCGTAGGCGGCTCTATAAGTCTCATAGTCCTGCAAAGGTTTCTTAAGCTCTGGGTTCTCTAGTACACGAAGGGCGTTATTCGCTTGGTCGAAGGCCGCGGTGGCCGCTCGCACTGCAATAGATTGAATAGACAATCGTTGCTCGAGCTCGGCCATGTCGTTCAGGCCCTTCCGATGGCCGGCGCCAATGCCAGACCCTCCACTGGTCGTCACCTGCAGCAGCACAGTCTGCTGTTTGTGAGATTCGATGGAGACGACGACGTAGGGATGCGAGGAGACGCGCGAGGATGTGTTCGTGGCGCCTGGCGGTAATCCTGACATTGTACGTCCGTCAATATCCGCGTCCTCGCATCCATGCGGATCTAGATGCACGACTTACCACGGTTCAAAGCAGAAGCTGCGGCGAGCCCTTTGGCGCCAGAGTAAAAGTTCGGCCTGGGGCCCATATCCTCCTCTCTGAGGGAAAGGCGTACTGCCTCTCCAATCTGGAGGGTCGACGGTGCCTTCCATTCTGAGTACGATGCGGTCATGTCGTGAGGAGTAGGCTGTCGAAAGGAATGCCCCTCTCGTCCTAGAGGAGAGATGTCGCCAGTTCTTATGAGGGATGCTGCGAGCAGGACCATTGGCATCGCCCCTTCGTGTCAGGGTGCCATTGTTCTGCATACGGCAGTCATCGCAACATAGCTGTTTTTGCCTCAACTCTGCCCTGTTGGCGTCGCCTCTTTCTGGCGGGGTGCCATTATCGTTCCGCATATGGCAGTCATCGCAACACTGCTTTCGTCCTATTGGGTCCCTCTGAGGCGCCATAGTAATGGTCGAATTTCGATGATCGATAACTTGCTCAATTCTTCATCCCGCATCCTTAAAGACGAAAGTTGTCGACAATTTGTATTCCGAGGGCATGGGATACCCCGTGTTGAGAAAAGAGTGTTCTGAGCATGATCTCAAACACCCAATTTCTCTTCGGGGAGGACTTGAGGAGAATTTCGTCGGTTAGGGCGTACTCGCGAATCCGAGAAAACCCTGATCTGAAAGGGTTCGACATGCGGGAAGCATGTCGTTGAATCGATGGATGACACAAATGGTGACGATGACGATGTTGATTATGATATCGTCCAAGGCGAGCGCCGCGCTGGCGATGATGGTGCCGAGGAGGACGCGGCGCTCGAAGTGCAGGAATCGGGTGAGGTTGCCGATCACGCCGGCTGCCAGCCAGATACCCAGATCGATCAAGGTCTGCGCAGAGGAGATCAGCAACAGGTCCGGGTCGCACGCTCCACAGGTTACCTGACGGGGTTCTCCTGATAGTCACATGGGACGCTAGATTCTATAATAGGGACCAGATTATGTAACAACACTTAACCCACGTTCTGATCCCTGGCCAATGCGGACTTGTTCGTATGAAATCAAGGATTGCATGTGACCTCTCCCATGGCTGATATAATCACCTGTGACGTCATGTGCCCACAAACAAGTACTGAATACGATACCATCATTCAATTATGGCCAACAGTCACATTCAACTCCGAATACCATCAACACTCTCACACTCAGCCCTACCTATTCACATCACATCATTTCCACCCACAATCCCCACTATCACAGCAGATGAGTGTAATGCACTCTGCAGGGAAGACCATGTAGATATCATGTACCTCTTCCGGAATGATTTGCAATTTAAGGGGCAGGACACTGGCCGAGACTGCCATAGGATTGTTACACATAGTTGTATTTGTCAACACTACCTAAGACAGCATGAAGGAGGAGAAGGTGGTCTGATAAGGAGGTTTCGTGCATTACAATAAAAGTAGGGCTTAGAAAACACAGGCAATGTGAGAGAAGCTGCAATTCCCGGCGCCACAGACTGCAGTGGAACAGGGTTGATAGGCATGCTCGCCTATATCAAGCACCATCTCAGCCAGCATCTCTCCATGCTTCTCTCCCAGCACCTCTGCAGCCTCGTTGTAACTGCGAAGACTCTCATGCATCTTCATCAGAGCCATTTGTTCTTCAGGACCCAAGAGCTTGTGGAGAGCTGGCATTGCAGGCTTGTCAGAGATGGAGGGGCAGTGGTCAGTGGAGCCAGTTCCCTTCTTAGCCTCAGGAAGCTTGGATTGCTGGGAGATGGAGATGTGGTGGTCGAGTGATGTCTGGTAATGTTTTTTGGCCTCTGTAATAGCCCCAGCACCTTCCAACAGATGATGAATGACATCTTCAGAGATCAGATAGACAAAGGCAATGTTATTGTCTATCTAGATGACATTCTCATCTTTAGTGAAGATCTGGATGAACACACCATTATTGTCAAAGAGGTTCTAGAGATCTTAAGGAAGCATAAGCTCTATCTTAAAGCTGAGAAGTGTGACTTTCATCAGCTGCAGATAGAGTACTTAGGCTTTATTGTTGGCAAAGGCAAGCTCCAGATGGACCCAGTGAAGGTGGAAGGTGTCTCTGATTGGCCTACTCCAAGCAATGTGACACAAGTACAATCCTTTGTGGGCTTCTGTAATTTTTACAGAAGATTTATTAAGGATTTTGCTCACATTGCAAGGCCTCTCCATGACCTAACCAGGAAGAATACTCCATGGCAATGGGGGGAGAAACAAGAAGCTGCTTTCCATACCTTAAAGCAGACTATTACTTCCTCCCCTATTCTTATATTTGCCCAAGATGACAAACCCTTCCAAGTAGAGACTGATAGCTCTGATTATGCATCTGGAGCTGTGCTCTCTCAGGAGGGGGATGATGGCAAGTGGCATCCCATAGCCTTCCTGTCTAAG